AGGGAAGAACTGATCACACCTGGGAAAGGAGGTGTCTCAGAGAAATGGGCATTTCTTTTTTGGTGTTTTTTAAAAATTATAGTAAAATACACATAGCATAACCTCATGTTAACCAGTTGTAAGTGTACAATTCACTGACCCTAAATACATTCACAGTCCCGCTGTATCTCTACTCTGTACCCAAAGGGTTTTCATCAACCCAATGAGAACTCTGTGTCTACTAAACACCAGCTCCCTGTAACTCCTCCTCCCCGCAGCCCCTGGAAACTTCTAATCTGCTTTCTGTCTCTGAGAATCCTTTCTTATAAAGGGGATCACACACTATTTGTCCTTTTGCGTCTGGCTTATTTCATTAAGCATGATGTTTTTAAGGTCCATTCATATTGTAACATATATCAAAATTTCATTCTTTTTTATGGATGAATAAATTTCCTTGTGTGTACAGACCACATTTTGTTTATCCATTCATCTGTTGATGGACACCTGGGTTGCTTCCACCCTTTGGCTATTGTGAGCAATGCCGCTCCGAACGTGCATGTACAAACATCTGTTGGGAGTCCCTGTTTCAATTCTTTCGGATCTGCACCTGGAGCAGCCAGCACTGGGTCTCATAGCATTAGGAGAAGCTCACCGGGCAGAGGAGGTGGGAAGGTTATTATTCCAGGTGGCAGGATCTGTGTGTGCAAAGGCTCAGAGGCCTGTACATCAAGGCTAATGAGTTCTTGGATCCTGCATAGAGGAGGTGGGGGCGCTGGGAGGAAGTTGGGTTGGGGCCCAAATGTGAAGGGTCCTGCAGCCACACTGCGAGGCTGGTGTGGGAGCCCCCTAAGTCTCCAAGACTAGGGGGAGCGCCATCTGATCTTGGTTTGGGAAAGATAACCTGACAGCTTCAGCTTCAGGGAGTGAAATGAGGTGAATGAATGAATGAATGAATGAACTAAAGGGAGCCCATAGAAGGAATGGGACCAGAGGTACAGTGTCTTGCAAACGAGGCAGAGGATTGAGATCAAGTATGCTTTCCTCTAAAGGAGCAAGTCACCAGGATGCAGCAGGCCCGGGGGTGGGCGGGCACAGCCGTAGTGGGCGAGAGGGGTTTGGGTATTTGGAGACCTCATGGACGGTCCAGGAGGAGCTGTGCTGGGAGGAGGCCTGGGCAGCAAATTTATTTCCTGTGGCAGCAAATACATCACCCGGAAGGCAGCTCATGGAATTACAGCACTGGACTCTAAGCGCCTGCAGAAAATCAACAAGACACAAGTCAGAGTGACATTTATCTGCAGGGAGATCAAGTCCAGGAGGTTTTAATGATTCAAAGTAATCACTTCAGCCTGTCTTGTACCGTTGACCCCTTCCCATACCTGACTTCATGTATTACAATACCATCGCTTAAATGACACTGATTCATGCAGGAGTTGCCATAGATATTAATAAAGAAGCTGTGTTAAAAATGGATCACTCATCATCATGTGCCCAAGTCTCCTAATGTCCCATGATGCTTAATTATTAAACGTGACACCTTGAACCTGCAGTGGACACTGAATCTCAATTAAATCCTGCAAATGGAACACGGCTGCCCTCTGTCCTCTGTGCTGCTTGCTGTCCCTGAGGACGTCAGATTTCACGGAAGCAGTCGTGTGGAGGTGGATATTTTCCCGTGCTCTGATTCTCCCTCCTGGCAACAATTCCCAGGAAAACAGGTGCCCCGGATGGAGCTGCTCTGCTCGGGACGGAGACCAAGGGGACACGGAAGGTGCCTGCATCCACACTCGAGTATGCCTTATTGTTCAGAAACATGAGAAAGCAACAGTATTGGCTCGCTGTCTGTGCTCTCAAGAAATATATAAACCAAGAGATATGTTATTATTAGGGCAGGAACTTAAAAATTACCTGTGCACAGACGGTCTCAGTCTCCCAGGGCTGCTGGAACAAACCACCTCAGACTCGGTGGCTCAGAACAGCAGATACCTATTCTCTCGCCCTGAGGGAGGCCCTGAGGAGGCTTCTTCCCTGGCCTCTCCCCCGGCCTCTGGGGCTTGTTGGCCAACTTCGGTGTACTCTTTGGCTTGTGGACACATCACTCTACTCTCTGCCTCCTCTCCACCCAGCCTTCCTGCCAGGTCATTGTGTCAAATCTCTCTCTCTCCTTTCTTTCATAATGACACCAGAGCCCTTAGGTTTAAGGCCCGTCCTAAATCCAGGATCATCTCATCCTGAGATCCTCAACCTGATCACATCTGCAAAGACCTTATTTCCAAACAAGGTCACAGTCCCAGGTTCCTGGGGTTAGGACCTGGGCATATCTTTCTGGGGGACACTATTCATTCGCTTACATGCTGATAAACTGTACCTTCTGACAGCAAACCTTATTTCAATCACCAGAGTGGGGGAGGGGGCAGCCTCCCATCTCTCCTCAGTCCTGCTGCCCTCCTCTGCCCAGACTTGGGAGCTGGTGCCCTGGGGTCCTGTGCACGTTGTCCTGCCTGGCCCCTAGTTCTGGCTCAGGTCACCCAGTCTGTGAGTGGCGGGAGCCCTGCCTGGAACCAGGCGACCATGTCTGGAAACCCAGGTCAGGCAGTCCTGGCACCCCTCGGGGAACGCGTTCGAAACCCATGTTGTATAAGGGAGGTCTGTGTCCTGGGTGGTGTGTGCCCAGGAGAAGCCCCAACTCTGGGAGACAAGTTTGGGTTGAGGTTTGAAAGATAAGGGGTGACATGTCCATTTTTTGTATGCCATGAACACAAAGTAGGGGTGGTTTTGTTAAACAGTCCCAGGGTGAATCCTTTGGTAAATGAAAAATTCCTTTTGTTAAGGAAATACAGTTGACCCTTGAATAATGTGAGGGTTGGGGTGCTGATCCCACCACAGTTGAAAATGCAAGTATAATTTTTGACTCCCCCAAAACTTTAACTAATAGCCTACTGTTGTCCCAAAGGCTTACTGATAACATAGTCGATTAACACAAATTTTGTATGCCATATGTATTATTCTTATAGTATGCAATATTCTTACAATAAAGTAAGCTAGAGAAAATTTTTTCAAATTGTCACAAATCTCCAAAAATACTTCCAATGTATTTATCAAAAAAATATGCACATGTAAGTGGGTCCACAGTTCCAACCCATGTTGTTCAAGGGTCAACTGTACTTACCTTCTGCTTAGCACCCACACCCCATCCCGGGGAGCTGGGATGCTGTCTTCTTTATCTTTGTGTCTCCCCCAGAGAGACACAAAATGCTTGTTGAGTTGAAGCAGAAATATAAGCCACTTAGAAAATATTAAGGAATCGTTGTTAATACAGTTAGGTGCAACAGGTATGAGGGTTTTAAAAAGTCCCTATCATTAGAACTTTAGACCTACTGTGTAACAGTTCTTGTGCTGTTTTACCTAATCACCCCATTTCATCCTTACAGCCACGCCTGTGAAGCACGTGGGGTTGTTTTCATTTTGTAGTGAAAGCTGAGGCTCTGCAGCATTAAGGAATGTACTCAAGTGGCTGGGTCGGAACCTGAGCCTGCAGAACCCACAGAGCTTTTCTAATGTTAAATTTACTATCTCATCAAATCATCGTTTCTTGGAAATGCAGATCGGTCCTGCAAGATGGCCGCAGTAGGACCTGGACAGCTGTGCCCCTGCATTTACTGCAAAGCATTCCAGCGGTGCCATGTTTCACCGAGGGCAGCTTCCAGCTGAGCCGCTGAGTGTGGGAAGGACCCTCTCCCGGGAGGAGCCGGCATTCCCGTCTTCCCATGGCGCCCCACCCAGGCCTCAGGCTCAGCACTGCCCACTCCCGCAGACTTGCCCCGATGCTGCAGTGGGAAGCCGGACCGCAGTGGCCACCCGGTTTCCTGCTCTTCATCCTGGGGTTGCCATTCCTGCAAACAGACCCCAGGCCCCCCCACTTCCCGGCCAAGACCCCAGTTCACTGGCATCCAGAGGGTTCAGATGGTTCCCAGGGCTGTCTGGCCTCACATCAGTTCTGCCCGGTCCTGCCAGCTCAAGATGCCCAGGCCCCAGTGGGCCAGATGACTGGCTGTCCCAGGCCTGGCTTTGACAGACTGGGGCCCCAAATGAGTGACCCCAGGAATGCTGGGAGTTCCCAAAGGTAGCTAGTGACTGTGCTCTGCTGAGCGGGAGTGGTGCCGGCGTGAATTAGCAGCACACCAGCCACATGGAAATCCCAGAAGGGTGAAGTCCTGCGAGGGGCTGAGAGCTCAGCCAGTGCCGGGGTCCAGGCTGCTGAGCTGAGCTGAGCTGAGGCGTGGGGGTGGGCGGGGGAGAGACCTTGGGCTGAGAAACGGGGTCAGCACCTAAGATGGGATAAAGCCCAGCGAGGATTCCAAGGAGAGGCATGTGTGGACACCAAGGGCCCTGATGCTGAATCCCTGCAGGCCCAGAGGGCCTTGGGGTCAGGGCTGCACCCGGCTTCACCATGAGCTGAGGGTGGTGCTGGGATGCCCTACAAATCCAGTCCACCCACTGCTCTTCTGACCCAGGATTTTAGAGAGAATGGAGTGTGAATCTGACATGCTGAGTTTGAGTCCCCTCTTGGTCTTGGTTGTGTGACTCGGGGCTGTTGGCTTCTTGCTGAGCCACTTGCTCAGCTCACCCTTAAACTGGGGGTGACCACACCCACCTCACTGGGCTCCAGGAGGAGTAAATGAAGCACCACAGGCCCAGAGCGTGGGGACCCAGTGCACACAGGTGGTCATGTCTCCTGGCTGAAGAGACTCGTTATTTCTCCCCAGCGACTTCTAGAAGGGATCAGAATGCCCACAGGGGACACCATCAGAAGTTAGAGCTCCATGACTTGTCTAGCAGCGCTGGACGTGGGGCATGGAGTGGGCTCGAGAGACATTCCTCAAAGGGCAGGCATGACATCACGTGGGAAGCTTTCCCAGGACACATGCTGGGCTCCACCCCAGGAGGAAGGTCTTGGGGGACATTCCCAGACCTTTTGCTAAGGGAGAGCCTCTTCTTGAAAGACTCACACACAGGCCATCGGGAATACCACAAAGCTGTTTATTTTCCTGCCTACGATAGAAAACATGGATGCAGGGTGCAGAGAACAACCAGCCGTTCCCCTGGTGAATGTCCAGGGGCCACACACGAATCTGACAGGCTGTGTCTTTACCAATGGGTTTTTCTGTTTCAGAAAAACTGCAGTTCACCATCTAAGTGCTCCCAAGGCACTGTGCCGTGCTGCTTTGGGGTAGAATTTATCAGCCCTGCTCTTTATCACTGGGAGACAAATCGAATTGGCAAAAAGTACCAAATGTCACATTCCATACAATCAGGGTGAGCACTCATCTTCTCGTGGCATTTGGACAGGCTGGCCCCTGAAAACTGTTTCTTCCCTTTGTCCTTAGCGATGCCAGCCCACAGGCAGAGAAAGGGAGCTACATTTAACCACTGCATTAAAAAATAAGCAAGGTTTTCAACTAAATAGTTGAGTAATTGGACCCTATTTAAACACCAGAATACATCAGAGGGACTTATTCATCTGGCTCAGCTTAGTACATGTCAACCTAACACTACAAATACATAAAAATAAGAAATGTCTTAGGGGGTACAAACAGGGACAGGGCATAGCCTTGGCAGCAATGACTTGGCCTGGGGGAGCAAACTTGGCTGTGCTGTCGATCAGCCCTCAGAACCAGTACTCGGAGACAAAGATGTGGACGTTGACAACATTTTGGTGGGATACCACACCCCCGACCACGTAGTTCATCTCTAGCTTCAGGACGGCGTGGAAAGGCCCCACGATGGGCCGCACTTGGCGCACGACACCTGGGGAGAGAGCAGAAAGGGCTGAGACCTCACCAAGTCCCATTGTTAGCCAGAGGCTTGGGTCCCTTGCACAGCCTCTTCCTCCCAGGGGTCATCCCTGGGCTCTGCCTCCGCCTCCAGGCATGAGTGGCAGTGAGCCCACCACAGCCATCTACCCGACAGGAATGTAGGGAGCCAGGAAAAGGGCCTGGCATGGTGTGGATGCCCAGTACACACCCGGCCCCTGCCTCCTGCCCACTGTGCCCAGGTCTGACCCTTTGGAAAAAACAAAGCAGGTGTGATGCCTCACTTTGTAGTACTGGAAACCCTATATCCAAGCAGAGCAGCCCCCATGGGACATGGCCCTGGAGCCCTCACAGGCCATGCCTCTGAGGAGGGTGGCACCTCAGCTCATTGTTCAGTGTTTGTGGTAACAGGTGAGCCAGAGGCGATTCCAGCCCCGGGGGCTCGGAGTGGGTCCAGCACGAGCAGTGGGGATGAGCCAGGGCAACCAGAAGGAGGACGGGGCAGAGGGGAGACAGGTGTCAGCTCTGGGGAAGCAGGAGCCTGCTGTGTGAAGTGGCGTGGGTGCAGATGGCTGTGTCTGGACCAGGGCAGGGGCCACGCACAGGCTATGACCGGTTGCCTCCTCTGCTGGGGCACAGAGCCCGGGGCACAGACCAGCTCAGCTTGGCCGGGTGGAGGGGGAGCACCCCAGGTGTTCTGCAAATGGGCAGGGAGCCAGGCTGTGCGCTAAGAGGACGCTGTAACTCTCCCCAAACCTGGGCCTGGCCTGCTCGCTGCTTCCAGGCCAGACCCTGCTGGCACCACCTTGCTTCTGCAAGGCACCCAAAGGCCCAGGGAGAACTCCTCTGCACCCTGGATGAGACGGACAGGCCCAGGGTGAGTGCTGTCATCCTGGCTGTGCTATGGGGACTGCTGTCCTTTCTGAGCCTCAGATTTCTCAGCAAGCAAACGATGCCGTGTGACCCTGCGCTTCTACACCAGACGGTCCCGATGACCCAGCACAGTGTCTGCCAAAGGTGTGAGCTCCAGGTGTGCAGGGCGACCTCCCTGCCAGACCGAGAGCTCAGCTCTTCACCTCCACACACATGCACGCCTTCCGCGGTGGGCGCCAGAAGCTGTTCTCAGTGACAGGAAAACTAACAGAGTCCTGGGTGCAAAGCCGGAGGAGGGCCCAGGAAAAGTGTCGTTGCTCTGATAGAAGCCTGCACATTGGCCAGCGGTGCGGAATGGAGGTGAGGAAGGCTGAAGAAGTCAGGGAAGGCTACTCGGAGGAGCTGCCCCCAGCTGTTGATATTTAGGAATGAATGATCTCCAGGGTCCCTCCTCCATCCCAGCTGCTCTTATGTTAGGGGGTTTGCCCAAAGCCATTGGGCTGTAGGGGTGTGCTGGTACCTGCAGAACAGCTGGCTCTCTGGTTGTCCTACGTGACGATGTCTATGGCTGATTTCAAGCTACCAATGTGACATGGCTGAAGACGGGTCTGGGAGAGTGCATTACTGGCTCCGTGCACCACACATGCTTGTAAAGAGCATGCTTGAAGCCTACAGCTCCACAGCTGTGCTGAGAAACAGCCACCAATCATTTGCTGCAACAAATTGCCAATTCCAGGCTGGTTTCTACAAACAGTGCCATCACTGACTTAGGCAGCGTGCAGGGGCAGTGCGGTCAGACCCTTGGTGCCCACCCTGCAAGCAGCAGAGGCTCCGGGGAGACTCAAGGGTCACGCTGGCCTCCCACGCTAGAGGCTGGCTCCCGGTCAGGAGCACCAAGTTCATGCTCAGAAGGGGAATTTGGGCGCGCCGTCCTCCCTTTCACCCCCTAGGCTTATGTTTCAGAAGTGCAATGCCCAGCAGCCGGGGTGGAATTCCAGGCTATTCTAAGCAAACAAGGGCTTTAGCTCTGATGGCGAGATAAGCACAGGCTTCTGCGGGCTGTCAGCACCCTTTCTCTGCCCCTACCCGGCGATGACACTGCAGCTTTGTCCTGTTGGAACGCCCACGAACATCTTCAGCTCCCACCTAAAGACGTGGGCCTGTCACCACCCTCAGTTTGCCAGCGGCCCCTGATGACTGGCCCCTCCCTGGGCATAGTCTGACGGGTCGGCTGGGCTCACGGGGGCAAAGTCACACTCGCCTCCCACCCCCATGGGGAGCACCGCCCCATGCCTTCCTGCCCCCTCAGTGCCCCCATCGATGTCACCTCCTCCTCTCCCAGAGACAGGGGCTGCCAATGGCACCCAGCACTCTCAGTGGTCTGGGTTGCCTGCTGGCTTCACCCACCCTACGGGCAAAGAAGGTTATTAACTGCAGGCCTCAGAATTCCAGAGCCTTGAAGGAAAGAGGCCGGAGGCTGGGTGAGCCTGAGAACTACTGCAGACACAGGAACAGTGGGAGTGGACAGGGTGTTTCTGCAAGCTACGGTCAGATAGGTATTCATTCTTGCATATCATTATTCTGTTTCTGAGGCATATAATTAATACATAGTATATATTAGTATATAGTATTATTATAAATAAAAAATATCTAATATAATTACATAATATAAAATACATAAATGTATTTAAAATAGATTAAAAAAATCTAACATATATAAAGATATATAAAAATATATTTTAAAAATTTACTTTGATACATATCTATATATTGTTTCCTACAAATGTAATTAATATTACTATTGAATATGGTTTGTATATTAATATGTGAAATATATTTGTTATATTAAAAAGTTTCATGAAATAATTTTAGTATACACACACAAGTTTAAATACAAATTTCTTGCCGCATGTGGAGGCTTTGAGAGCATCAACAGTTCAGACCCACAGAAGTTTCTGGGCGTACCTCTAAGCACCAGGCACTATTAAATAAGTACAGACAGAGTGATGGGCTATGCTCGGGGGGCTCAGTGTGGGGACAGAGACTGTGGCCCCGGGGGCCAGAAACAGCAGCGCGGCTCCAGAGGAGTCATTAAATTTTCTGAGTCTCAATTTCCTCTTCATGCAACAGGGATTAAACATAGCAAACTTCAAAATCAGAAAGAAAATAAACACAAGGGCCTCCCCCTTTGCCCTCCTCACAAATGACTCCTGGATATCAAAAAGCATCCCAATATTTAAATATGATCTGGTTTTCAGTTAAAGGACAGCTGAATTCTGCATAACTGAAAAACAGAGCAACTGCTGAGGATCCTTATTGGACTGATTTTAAGGTTTTTTTGAGAAAGAAAAGCCCTGAATGTGGTGATGTTTGTATCTCAATACACCATACTAGTGTCCTTTCCACGGCTGAGTCTCTGCAATGGCCAAAGACCAGACCCCATGCTGTAGGCTGACTGTTCAGACCGCAGGCAGTGAGGGGGCACATGGAAACCTGAAAGGGGGTGAGGGCTGCTTGTGAGAAGGGCCGGGCAGGGGGTAGGCCCAGTTTCCGGTGCAGGTCACACTCGGCACCTGGGTTTTCACGGGATCTTTGGGAAAAGACTGAGGTGGAACAAATAGGCATGCTGTAGAGTTAAGTGGGGAGCCATATGAGTGCACTTAGCAGGTGTTCAAGGAATGTACCCCTCTTTCTGCCTCCCCACAATCAGCCACTCGGTCGCTTCCTCTGACCTGAAGTCATCGTTGACTCTCCAACTCCATCCATAATCCTAGTCAACCCAGGGCTCCCTTTTGCAGGCTGTGCCCACTCAGGGGACCTGACCACTACTTCTCCAGCCCAGCCACACTTCCCCTGGAGCTCCGGTTTGGGTGAACATGATCCCTCCATTTCTAGGTTAGCTCAAGCTTGAGTTCCACCTCTTAGTCCTTATACCTTGACTGAAGCCCAGCTTTCTCCTAATCTCACATCTTTCTTCCTGTCCCTCTATCTACCCACCCACCCATACATCTGTACACACATTTACCCATCCATCCCACAGAGGACAGCCTGCACAGGGGAGGCTTAAGGAAAATTCTACCGAGGAGCTGATATTTAAATTGGATTTTGAAGAATATGTAGGCGCCTAGGAGGCAGGGAGGACAAGTGTGAACCCCCCAATGTATGAAGGTTCAGGCCAGTTCTAGGAACAGTGTCCATCATAGGGGAGAAACAGGCAAATGGGAGGTGGTAAAGGGCTGCTCCGGGGAGCCACACCTCATCAGCCTCACAGAACCAGGAATCTGGGGGGCGTCTTTCCCACCGCCGATTCATTCAGAACCACTGATGACCTTCCTGCTGCGAGGAAACCAAGGAGGGAAGAAGAAGACACACTTGCTGCCCACATGTGGCATCAGGAACATGAGAAAGCCTCCACCAGCCATCCCAGTCCATCTAGCCACTCGATTCTGCAGACAAGCAGCTGGCTTCGCTGGCACTGGGGACCGGCTGGGCCGCTTACATCTTCTTTTGGGAAACCTCCCCACCCCACATCATGCCACCTGTACCTGGTCTCCCTCGGCTGGAACACCGCACCTGCCAACTGCAGGAAACCTCCCGCCCTCCAGGGACATGGTCTGCATCTCTGTCCCACTGTCCCCAGCCCAGGATCTGGGGCAGGACACAGGAGGAGCTCTGTCCTGATTACTGAGTGGGGTGAAGGCAGAGGAAGAGAGGAGAGAGAAGGGGAGCAGAAGGGGAGGAAAGAGGAAGGGACCTCAGTCCTGAGGCCACCCCGCCATCCAGGAAGGGAGGCAAAACTTTGTCCGGAAGGAGAGGGGAGCCACAGAAGGCTCTGAGCCAGAGCAGTTTTACTTGGAAAGACACTCTAGCGGCAAAATGCGGGACAAAGGGAGGGGAGTCCTGCCTGGCTTGTCCGTCGTACCTGTGGGGCATTTACCTGCTCAGCTTTCCAGAGCCCCAGAGGAAAAAAAAAAAAGGCAACATTGCTGAGTTCAACGGTGTTGATCTTGCAAATCCTCGTCCTTGGCATTTCTGCTTCGGGTCTCAGACGCTGCTGGTATTCCTCGGCATGTCTGTGCCTCTTAAAGACATAATTAGGCCTTTTTTTTTTCCCTTTGAAAA